TCTGTGAGTTAGCCATGCCCTGACTTAGATCAGCCCAGAGGTTGTTTCAGGGTTCAATCTGTGAGTTAGCCATGCCCTGATTTAGATCAGCCCAGAGGTTCTTTCAGGGTTTTATCTGTGAGATCGCCATGCCCTGACTTAGATCAGCCCAGAGGTTGTTTCAGGGTTCAAGTCGATAAAATTTGAAGGTTATATTTCAAACGTACAAACCTTAAAGGTAGTGGAAGTTCCATGTGACGCATGGGCTTCGCTCCATAAGCTTTGAATTGAGCCCGCAGTTCTTGATCAATATAGTAATCATCAAGACGATCCATTTTTAGTCCATCCTTTTTCAAGCTGACACAGAAAAGAAATGGGACCAAATATTAGCCATCCACTTAAACGATACTTTTGTGTGGGGGAATTTCCACTAACTGAATTACTTACTCTGGAAGCCTTAGACCTGGCAATGTCTCGATGTCCTCTGAAACAGCTTGGTGCTTTATCGGACCAACATATTCTGATATTTGCTTGATTTCATCATAGGTTTCACTCACATATCGCACACATAGGAAACGAAGAATATAAAATTCTTCCACGCCCTCTTGGAATCTAAGGACAGCTGGAACATAGCTGAAGCCATACTCGTTGTGTCTTTTGCAGCCAACAGCAAAAACACTTTGTGCACCTATAACAAAAGGATAGAAACACTAAAGAAATATAAAGGCAAGGCATACGCCAGACCAATCACATTGCTCGAGAACTTACTCTCCATCCAGTCAAATACCCAGAACACGGCACAAAGACATCGCAGACTCGGACACGCCAAGGTCACGACACTGCCGGACTAATTAAATTGCACGCGCGAGAAAAATAAACCAGCCAATTAATATCCTATAAAACATTACTGTTCACGGCACTGCACGCATACGGCGAGCACCGAGCTTTAATATCACAGTCATACGAAAACTGCTATATGAATATTGCACACTAACATGTTACCTGGCCAGAGACAGCTCTTTTCAGCAGGAATTTGGCGTATTTCTTTATAATCAAACGACGAGGTGCTCCAAAGTAGAGTAACGTCTTTCAAGATAACCATCCTATTTCCAACATTCTTCACCACTAGTATGATATCTTTTTTTGTTTGTAGTTGAACTATTGTCTCAATCACGCCAGTTGCACTTCCAGGGGGTACTGACGTCACTTGGATGCCTTTCTTGTCCTTGGTCAAATCAAGCTGATGTCTTAGAAAATTACAATAAGAAAATAATAAAGACAACTTTCAAAGAAGCTGTCAGCTTTTGTATGGCAAATGTGAAGACTTTTTTTGGTGATAAAAACGAAATTATCCAAAAATAGTTTTGTGTGATGAAATAATTTATAAAACCTTGTTTCATTGGCAAGTATTAAAGGGGGAGAGTTGAATAGTCTTTGAATTATTACATCTACCGAGACATTTCACCTGTTACTTGGTCGACTTTTGTGATAATCAGTCGGATGTAGAAATGATCAACTTTTATTGTTTTATGATTCATTTAATCGGAATTGCAGGATTTTTTTTTCTTACCTCTGAACCAAATTGCGAAATGCTTGTAAGATCACTTGCTGTCGATGTTTAATGCTCGCTTCATGCTGACTTAGGGCCTGTTGATTCTGCATGGGTCTTCTACATGTGTCACAAGCAAATCTACAGAAACGTCTTTCTCCCATCCATTCAATGTCGCAGTCATCATCTTCTGAAAACATGGCTAATACTGCTTCTTCCCCTCCTCCGAACACCACTTTTCCTAGGACCTCCTGACATGTATTCATATGGTAACACAAGAAATGAAGGATATCTTTAAAACATTTATCCTYTGTTTCATATTGGTTGCTATATTCATTCTCGTAGATTTCTTTAAGGTCTGTTCTTCTCATCGTTTCTTTMCGTTCAGTTTGCTCGAGGAAGTCTAAGAAACCTTCTGAAACTGCTTTTGAAGTTACCTTATCCAAATTGGGCCTTCGCGGAGAGAGCATGACGGAAGTTTTTGGTATAGGAACACAGAAGCAAAACCTTTTGTAAAAAAGAAAAAAACTATATGAAATATATATGCAAGTTAAATACCACCATAAAGTCCCACATGAAAGCCGATTCATAAGGAAATAGCTTTCGTACTAGTTATAAGTATGGGGAAATTTTTCAACATTTATAAGTCAAAGAAAGTTAGAKAAAAATAGGGGATAATTAGCATGCATTCAAGCGTTTAGGCCTGTCACGAAGGAAGTATACCGGTTTCTGATCACCTACGTTTTTCTTGACAGGTCTAGTTATCTATATGTAAATATTTTCGTAGGAGGTTGGTTACATTTTGCTTCAAAGCCCCTCGTCTAGTCCTCTATATAATCGGTGGAAGCGCTTTGCCCTTAGAAGCTACTGGACAATATTGTAATAACAAGCTACTGCACGTTTTCAGTGAGCTTAGATGTAGSGAATTGAAAATTTGGAGTGGTCAGTCTTGCATGCCATTCCCGAGGTTTCTAGAAAATCCGTAAAATACGCAAAAATACGATCGACATATTATGGCATACAAACAAACCCACAAAATATATATGCATATATACRAAATCAATATACGAAACTTCTACTCGAATTATACAGCTACAAAAAAGGCCGAGACTGTATTTCAATAATCGTAGAAAAGGAAAGACTTCTAAAATGTATTTCGCTTGATAGGTTTCTTGCTATTTCTTGAATGCCTAATAAATTTGATGGGACTGCACGTATCCATGTCTAGAACCGAAAACGACGATAAATGCGACAAATTCTTACCTAATTTATGTTTTTCCTCGCTTTATTCGTACCATGTTGATCGAGAACAGTACTGACATCTCGCTCCCGGTTAATGCAAAACAATTCTCATTATTCTATAGGCAATCGTTTAAAGCTACTTCTAGATATGCGTACTYGTCCAATCAAATTGGTGGATACAAAAATCGCAAAATTTCCAAGAAATGTACCATATCATTATGACGTAATTTTAATTTACATGTCGAGAAAAGACTGTTGTATTGGTTCCTTGCAAGAGAGGCCTTTGGACGGCAATTTTTTTATGCTTTATTCTTTTCTCTCCCAWGAGTTTATTCGGTTTCTGAGCGACTGCTAAGAATCTTATCGCAGACCACAGGGGTTCCCAGACTGTAAGGAAAGTTTGGGKTTACTGTGATCTTGGCCGTTCGATATATTCTCAAGTAGTAAACGTAAAGTAKTAAATGTAGTAAAGCCTACTAGTACTTCTGTTTGTATTATATGGAAATTTAATTTAAAAGTTCACCATATTTTTTAACCCTCCAGGATGACTTAGAATGATTACTTAACGAGCAGGTGTGTCCTTATCAGGTTTAAATTAAGCACCTTTATCTCTGATCTGATGAGCCTGGTTCACGCTAGCGTCGTAAGCGTCGGAATCGCAATCGTATGAAGCTTTTCGATCTAGTATGAATCAAAACAACTCAAGCGGAATCATAAGCCTCGCTTCGGCGCTCGTTTTGCGAGGCCGAGGAGACCGCCTAATAGCCTGGGCATGAGCACTGTCATTGGTTAAAATCTAGTTCTGATTTTTTGCTCACAAATGAACATATAGTGTCATATATAATCCTCAGAATCGTCGGAATGGTAAGAAAAAAGAAAGCTTTCCGATCCCAATTCCGACACTAGTGTGAACCAGGCTTTAATTGAAGTGTGTTTTGTAAATGAAGAATACTAATGGGGGTGGGTTCGAATCCCAGCGAGGTCGGAAATTAATTTTTCCGAATTTAATTCCAAGGGCTTCCGCCCGGAATATCCTCGTTCCCAAGCACTACAACTTACCTATATTATCTTCTACTAATGAAGAATACTTTATCGGGTCTAAAGACCCATGCACGTGASGTGTGGCTTAAAAATATTCATGAGGCTTTGAATTGAATTTTTTGAACTCTCCACAATTTAAAAAAATACGTATTAGTAAATATGCATCCCAAATTTCAACACGTGCATAATTTTGAAAAAAAAAATTGATGGTTAAAAATATGTTAGAAAAAAATCCGTTTCAAAATTCGAAAAAGCCGCAGAGAACAAAGAAACAAGCAAAAAAAGTTCTCGTTCTTGCATCATATAGTGATAACTATTCATATTTGTCTATCAATGATGGTCTTTTCAACAGTTCACAACTGATGATACCAAGCTTATCCATAAAAATCTGCCACTACGTCGATCGGTTACGTCTATTGTGTTGAGACTTATTCCCAACAAACATCGTAGCCTAATTTTGTTGCTTGCATTGCTTCTGATCATCACCGAACGAACATCGACACTCCCTAACCCCTTATATAGTCAGTGGGATTGGTCAATTCTTAAAAGTATCGTGGATTCGAGGCTAGCATGAAAATACAAAAAAAGTACACTTTTTCTAGATGAAATTTGTGGCATTTCTTTTGTATTTCCATGTTAACCTTGCGTCCAAGACAATTTTAAGAAAGGTGCATCGCAGCGCGTCTCGTCACCAACAAACATCTCGGACGCTCCCAACGGCTCCCCTCTGTAGTCTGTTAGATCCCTCAGTCTTCTGTAGTGATCTTCGGAATGATGCCTGTTGACTTGGTTCTAACTCTAMTTTGTTCTTCAGCCCCAAGAGCCGTGCAAACGCGGATCGATATCTGGTGTTCCTGGCGCAAAAGATGTAAGGATTGATAGCGCTGTTCCATAGCGAAACTGCCCAAACCCAGTAGAAACCTCTCATGAACTCTGGTGTATTGGCAATGCTGGCGTTAGAGATAGTATACCCAAGAAAAGGAGACCAAAAACCAATGAAGACTCCCATCACTATCCCTACAGTCTTCGCAGCTTTGCGCTTCCGTTTTTGTCTCCTAAATTCGGACACTCCTCTTTGCTGGGCGATGCCACCTTCTTGTGAGCTTATGTGTCCAAGAGTACCYTCCCTGTCTATCCTCTTCTGTTGTTTTCTTGCTGAGATAAACAAGTACAAATACATGATGATAGTCAGWAATAAAAGTAATGAGATATATGACCACACGAAAAAGTACTTGCTAGAACTTTGAACAAAGCAGTTCCCGGCAGAACTACAAAAGCAGAAACCCCACAAGACAGCAATGACTTTGGCAGCTCTCGTYTTCGCAGATATTCGTACGTACAGGAAAGGAAACTGTATGGCAATAAAGCGATCGATTGTCACGAGAAAGATGCCCGAAACCGATGCAAGAAGCGCTACATATCCGATTGCTTGTAGAACAGTGTTAAAAAGCCTGTCWGGACTATCTGCTTTGTAGATACGAYATCCCAGCAATGGCTGCTGTACGGCAGCAACAATAAGGTCTGCTACTGCTAAGYTGAAGATAAACAAGTCTGGTACTGTCTGTAGAGCAGCGTTTTTGATGATSACCAACAAAACTACGACATTGCCAAAGGTACCGATGACAGAAAAAAGAGCATTTAAAACAGAAACACAAACCAAGTGAGCAAGAGAGAGTATTTTCTCATTCTCTACTTGTTCTGTTTTGTTCATCGTCTTGTTGACAGTTTCTAAGATGGTAGAAATATTGGACAGCATGTTGAAYACTCAAGCCTGTCGCAAACGGTACCTAGAATTGCCGGTACACTGTTCAGCACCTGAAATGTCAGACACAGTGAAATTACAAGCTTTTTCTCATCAACCCGAATGGGTTGACATCGTTTTATCGATAGGATAAGACACAGATATTTCCTGCCTTTACAAATGAAAATTAAGAGCTATTATTCTATGGTCGATGTCCAACACGTAAGAAAGAACAACTTTATAATTAAACTCCCAAAACGAAAATATAAATGTTTCGGTCGACTTTACCTGTAAACATTATGAATTTAGGGAATTTCATACTGACGCCATATTTAGCATTGATTCCAGTCTAAAAAATGATTTTCGCTTGTTTAGTTTATTAATCCGCACTAGAGTTTAACATTATCTCAACATTATCTCAAAATCAAAAATTTGATTCCTRATCAACCGCTTGTTATGTTCAACATGCACCTGCTATACACGTCTATATAGTTTCATAATTTCTTCTTTATATGTTAATTGTTTTTTTTCCTTTGACTACATTTTGAATGTGGTCATTAGTGTTAATGAAGGCCATTCATAGGCGGATCCGGAACGATTTGAAGGAGGTGGTTGTTACCTAGAAAGGCATATAGGACATCCTTTTGAGATGTTACCTTAAAGATGGTACCCGTAAAGTCCTCCACTGAAAATTGAAGATCGTAAAGCGCATTGGGGTGCATGTATAACGCGCTATATAAGAACTTCTCATCATTATCATCATCATTATCATCCTCATCATCATCATTACCTTATTCTTTTTTTTTATTACTCAAACTCAATCTTTTGGCCCCCTTTCTGTTTTATGACAGTGACCAAGGAAATAAGAAGTCAATGAAAGTCTTAGTATAAGTACCAGATTACAATAATGCCATAGAGATCTCATGATCACAATTGCTCGATTGCAGTACCATTGCAATGCTATGGTCAACGTTGTACCATAATTACAGTGTCAAAATCCACCATTGCAGTATCACTGAATCAGTGTTGCACCATTGCAGTGTCGTCATCCATTTTGTACCATTGCAGTGCCATAATCAATATATGATGCACCATTGCAAGGCCATAATCAATATATGATGCACCATTGCAGTGCCATAATCAATGTTGCACTATCACCAGTGTCATATTCAAATGTAATGGGCAACTCCGGATTTTGCATATATTTAGCTTCGTGGAGTAAAGCGATCTGTCTACACATTTACTTGACTTGGTTCCAGAGTTGATCGGCCGTAAAAGAATCCTACTCTTTCAAGTTGTCACGGTAGAACGCGTTACGTGACCACTGACATATCAGGGTTCGCGGGGGATTTTTTAATGATCATGTTTTTCTCTGTAAGTCTAGACATATACCAAGCACAAATATTATATTATGAAGAATCAGCTGTTTTAAAAATTGGCTAGGAAACCCCTTTTTTTCTTTTTAAAGTTTATTTTGGTATCTAGGCAACAGGGCAGAGTACTACTAGTTAAAACGCATGTGCCACGGGCTATATATGAATAAAAACATTGATCAATCATAGTACCAGTCCGAGTTCTACTAGAACTGGACTTTTCCACCAGTACACGTTGGTACAATGTGCTGGTAGACAGTCGTAGCGCGTTTTGCAGGCATTCTACTCCCTAAGACATGCATCTAACGCGTTTGGACTAACTTTTTGGTCCATTGTCAATTGTTCGATTGGTTATTTCCATACCAAACACTTCTCCCCCAGAATTATTGTCCCCTAGCAGAAATCAAGCCAACCAAATGGCCGTATTTCACTATGACGTCACTGCTTGTTTATGTGGGGGATGGAATCGCCAAATCCAATAGAAAATTCAACAAAATTTGCTCCTAGCGAAACAGCTGTTTAATCTAAAATGGCCTGGTTTTCAGATATAATATGTGTTTATATGTAGTAAAAAATATTCTAAGCGTTTGCTGGCTATTTTACTTCTCTTCGTGGATTGATACGGGTTTTAGAAAAATTTTCGGTGAATTTGCGTTGATTTAACCCCCTCCGACGAACCATGATCCTTTGCGCTTAAACAATAGATTGTTTTGATGTGATGTCATAGTGAAATAGGGCAATTGTACTTTGGTATGTGAAACAAAACACGCCGACAGCCAACCAAAGAGCAACGGTTACTAACCGCCTGGCTGGTGGGAGTTCACGGGAAAAACCCCGCTTCACCGGTATTGGTTGAATTTCTTGATATCCTGAGACGGTTTGATCTGGCATGTAAACAAATCTGTTTCATTTTTTCTTTAGTATTCAAAGTATTCTTTAACAAATTTTATTGTTATCAATACCTAAAAAGCTACTATATTTTGGCATGCAAAGCTTGAAAATGCCTGGTCGAGTTTTTGTTATGCAATCCTGGTTGAGCGAGTGCGAAAAACGCATTTCAATAGTAATATTTTGAATATAAAATTTCAAGTTAGAAATCAATTGTGTGATCGAATTGTGCAACTGATTTTGTGAATTAATTTTTGTCGGTAACGATTGAAAAAAAAAAAAAAAAAAACCACAAAAAAACAAGAATTCGCTAGTACAAAATATTCTGTCGTCACGCTCTGTCGTTACGCTGTTGCACAGTCAAAATGAGTTGACTTCAAACAAACTTATTTGCATTATACAAATTTTTCACTTTCGAGAGTAAAATACACATTTGTAGTAAACGAATTCCATATGTACTAGCTTTATTATTCGGAAACAACTTTTTGTGCAAGGAATATATAATATTAATGACTATACCTTCTGTTTATATATATATAAACAAGAGCCTACAAGCCAAGTTAATCTTGAATTTTCAAATTATTACTATTTTTTGAATATTGAAGATTCGTTTTCATTAATGAATGTTCGAATCGAATAATGAAAATAAAGTCATTAATGACCTCTACGTGTTCACGCTTGAGGGTGCCAGCTTTAGGGGAATCCCCGACTTATTGCGAAAGAGGAAAAAAGTGACGAGAGTGGACAATCTAACTGAATATAATAGCAAGTAGCCGTGGGTTCTTGCCAGTGCAAATCCACATTATACTTCGGTCAGGCTTTAGCTAGCCTAATAACAGGCAATGATTCACCATTTTTAAGCTCGAACTCGATAGCAAACCGAAATAACCAACAATGGCGTTCATAACAAGCGTTCATCGTAAATCAAGGAGTAGGTATGTGATATGTGCTAATAAGTAAATTTCTTATTACTAAGTCTTATAAACCACCGAAATCATAAATTCAAAGCAAAAAAAGCTCTTAGTAGTTCACAGATTGTTATTAACCATTTAAAAAGCAGAGGATAAGTGTGAAGAAGCGACATTGAGCAGTGGTTGTTATTTACAGTGGTTCTTTGCAGTGCGGGCACCATGTTTTATCATGTTTTGTCGTATATGGCTTCTATAAAACCTATTCTCTAAATCCTTAGCTGCATTTTATATTCTTAAGACCCTTTCAGTTGCTATTTCTTTTATTTCAATCCGTTTAAATAGTGATTTTTTCGGAAAAATCAGGAGAAAAAGCGAGAAAATCGACTTTAAGGTGGCTCAGTACTTCAACAAATTTAATGATGTAGGACTTTGAAATGCAAGTTGGCAATATGAAGCTTTCGATTGTTTTTTGGGGGCAAGCGCGTTTTCAAAGTCTAAAATGTCTAAAGCAACAGCTTTTCGGTCCCAAGAATCAAATGATACTACAAATTTTTATGACAAACATCGAACATGACGCTTCTAACAACGGACGTCTTATCTACTGCGGTACTGAAAAAATCAAGAATCAGAAATGTTGAAGCTTATAAATGTGTGGGGTGGTCCAAGGGGCGCCTGTAATAACATATGCTCTCGAAAATCAATTCCTTTTTCCGGTTTGGCTGCTATACAAAGTCAGGATTTCATTCGGTTGTTTTCGATCGTGAGTTTGATTGACGAAAGCCCGTGTAATACAAATTTGGATAAATATGAAATAAGTTAAATTTTCGGCAACAGAGGTTATCATTTGGTCCAGAGTCGAAAAGTTTCATTGCAGCTGTCCATTGGATGTGCCCATGCAGTCAGTCAAGACCAGCCAGCCCACGGAGGGTCAGAAAATAACCTCTGCTCGCAGGGTACTAAGTTAGCTGTACCAAGAAACAAAGGAAGTCTAGAAAGTTTTTCCAAGAAACATATTATTTGCATATCAGAAAGCTCTTCTAACCCGTAGCCGCTCTTGTATTGTTGTCGTCAAGCGTTGCGTGACGACACTAAACAAGAACGGCTGCCAGCGATCGGTCCCTTCGTGGCGAAAAACCCAATATAAAACATTGGACCCTAGTATTCTGATTGGATGAGCATTTATCTCGAGCGTTGTGATTGGTTTAGCGATTCCATCCATCCATACCGTGACCGTGTCATGTCTCTATCACCGTACTTCCAAGCCCAAAAATTAAAAGCTAGCAACTTTGCTGAATTTCACTTTTGTTTTGCAGGTTCTAGCTAGATAAGCAGCCTGTCAACATGCCTGGATTCGACTTGAACGACAGCGATCTTGTGAACATTCCGGAAAAATACTTCTGTTCGTCATGCAATAAGGTCCTAAATGATCCTGTACAGACAAAATGCGGACATTTCTACTGCAGATCGTGTATCGATGACTTGAGAGAGTAAGTTTACCTCTCCTGGTCCGGAGAACACCAAAGAAAAACCCTCAATCCAAGGGAAAGACCTAACAAACTCTACTCACATGTGATGCAAAGTNTTTGACTACATTTTGAATGTGGTCATTAGTGTTAATGAAGGCCATTCATAGAAAGGCATATAGGACATCCTTTTGAGATGTTACCTTAAAGATTGTACCCGTAAAGTCCTCCACTGAAAATTGAAGATTGTAGAGCGCATTGGGTCGCATGCATAACGCGCTATATAAGCACTTCTCGTCATTCTCATCATCATATCCTTATTCTTTGTTCTTATCATTCTTCAACTCCAAGGGGGTGGCTAGCCATCTAATCCATCCCCCTGGATCCGCCCTTGTCATTCAATAATATATACAAGATAAGATAGCCAGAAAAGATCACGTCCTGATCACCTCTTCGATCAGTTTTGGATTTTTATGAAATATAACAGGTGCATGTGCATATATCATAATGGTCGTTACGTCATTAATGGCGCTTTACAAACTTTTGTTATTTTTGTTTATACACCTACTTGCAAGAACGTTGTCATACGAAAATAGAACATTAGTGATTTAGTGGGATAGGAATTATATTAAAAAACAAAAGAAGGTCACTGAAGCTGAACTTTTTCTTTTGTCTTTTAATGTATTCCTTTCTCACTAAATCACTAATGTTCTATTCTTGTATCGACAACCTTCTTGCAAGTAGGTGTAACCATTGCAGTACCATAATCAATATATGATGCAACATTGCACTCTCATAATCAATATATGATGCAACATTGCACTCTCATAATCAATATATGATGCAACATTGCACTCTCATAAGCAATATATGATGCAACATTGCACTCTCATAATCAGTATATGATGCAACATTGCACTCTCATAATCAATGTTGTGCCATTGCAGTGCCATAATCAATGCTGTATGATCAGTGTTGTTCCACTGCATGCCATAATCTATACATGTTGCTAAGTAGAGTAAAGATCCAAAGCTCTTAGCGAGGATTTACTAAAATCAAGCGATCTACTAGTCTCCCCCACAGCCGAAAGCGGCTGTGGGGGAGACTAGCGATCTACAGAAATGGACTTGGTTTCAGAGGTTATTTGATTGACCCGGGTATCGAAGTCTGGGATCGATTGTATGTAGACTATCGCCAGAGCACCAGTCATTTTTTTAAGTCGATTTGTTTATTTTTCTTAAAGTATATATCAAAGAAATTTTTTCTTTCAAAATCACTTATATGTGAATAGTGCAGTAGTATGGTTGCAGTATTAAATTTGTATGTAAAATTTTCTTTTAGGAGATATAAACGTTTGAAATATCAATATGCAAATGAGATGACGTAAATTCAAGACTAATTTATTAATACGAAAATGCTGTTGTGGAAAGTACTGCTGTTTTTTCATTTGCAAATTATTCTTATAACTGAAATATATGGCTTTGTACACTTTTAGGATATTTCACTTCAGAATACTTGTCGTAAATCACACTGCAAAATGTAGCCCATTCTTGAATTTACGTCATCTCATTTGCATATTGATATTTCAAATGTTTATATCTCTGAAAAGAGAGGTCCACATACAAAAATACTGCAACCATACTACGACACTGTTCACATATAAGTGATTTTGAAAATAAAATTTTTCCCTTTGATATACACTTTAAGCTATAGTGAAAGTGAAAGCGCATTAACGCATAACGACATATATATAAAAAATATTGACACCTGGCATTTATGCCTAGTTTTGCAAATCAGCTGATTTCTTAATTTGCTATAAATATAAGCCAAATCTGTATGGTGAGCTCAAAGTTATTACTTCGAAACCGACTTCGATGACTGACTTAGTGCTCGATTAAAAGCATGCATGAACTTAAACATAGAGATACAACTTGTACATGGCATAAATCATGGACTGAGCAATGACATCTTGAACTATAGTATTGCTCTGAATTTATCGGTATTTAGCTTATCTAGTAAACCATTTTTAACTCGTGGATTTACTGGGGTTTTCTTTAAAGTTGAACTGAGCAAGTTTATCGGTAAAAGTTCAAATATTTGTATGAATCTCAATTAGGGAAAAATACCCTGTCACGCAAGTCATGCGGAACGGCGTCCGTTGCAAGCTGTTGTTGATTTAATGTCCGGGGGGTACTCCCATATATGGACTATACGGGGATGAGCCGCTGAACAGGGTATGGTTTTTCGAGCTTCTTCTCACAAACAGGGTATGCAATTTCACTCAAGTTCCAAGTTCTTCCCGAGTTTCCTGTCATATTCATGGATTCTGCTTTCGTATTGACCAAAACTGGTTATTATGGTTGTAAAAAAACGATACGCGAGATGACATAATTGAAACAGGAACTCAGTGCTATTAATTATATCTTTTATCATAAACAGGGTCCACAAATTTGAGTTTTTTATCATAAACACTTACTCTTTCAGAATCCCAGCGGAACACCCCTACCCAAATTCTGGCGGTGTATCCCCCCCCCCTCAAATTACTACCCATGTCAAAGAGCTTTTTTGAGGCTTTTTCGCAGAAGAAACACTTCAAGACACATGATATCTTTATTTCCAGATAATGTTTTTTCAGACCGACCTAAAAGAGAGATTATAGAAGAGAATTGAACAGCTACCTCTGTCCCACAGGGATCCCTAACCAAAAAATCCGAAACCACTAATACTGAGAGAACTGAGAATTGCATGTATTCAGTGTCGTACCGCTAGACTGAATTTTGAAAAGTTGCAGTGTGTTTATACTAGAAAATGTATGCGTCCTAGACTCGTTTGGAAAGCTTGACATGCAATACCATGAACAGGTCAAGAACGATATTTGCATCGTGATGTCAGTGATATTACACTATAAATATGTTCGCTTCTCAGAATAAAAAGCCTAGTTAGTAACAAAACTTCGTCAATTTATAAATTCATACACTTATTATTTGATAAATTACAAATTTCCTGAAAATCATGCTGTTTTGCTATTCATTGTTTCTGGTAGCAAATATGTGATTTTAAATTAGGGGAATCCCCGAAACAACTTTCATTTTATAAAATAATTGGTATACTACGCGCGCTAGGATTGGTCGAAAACCATGTTTGATGAGAGTATCAAAACACGCTATCGTCATTTTTAATCTATCGCGCGCGCTCATTGGTCAGTTTGAATAAGACGGCACGTAGGGAGAATTTACTTAGACTTTGCTTTTTTTCGATCTTATCGCGCGTTTGTTATTTTATAAAACAAATCAAAAACAGTTTTCTGTGTTTGATACTCTGATCAAAACACTTGGGATGTTGGGAGAACACTCGAGAAGCTGGAAACCACTCCGCTACGCGTCGTGGTTTCCTACGCTCCTCTCGTGTTCTCCCAACATCCCGCGTGTTTTGATCAGAGTATCAAACACGGAAAACTGTTTTTGATCTGTGAAATCATTCAGCTCGGGGAACTTTTGGACACGTCACGTGCAAGGGCTTATCTAGCTTTCCATCATCGAGTTTCTTCTTTGTGCGGAGCAGTTAGCTTGATGGCACAAGTTACCACCACCACCGCTACCGATTGTCCACTGCGAAGCAATCCGTAATTCATTCGAAATAATGTAATGATCCGATGTTTGATCACAATGAATTGATCGGTAAGTTAGTCGAGTTACATTGCCTTGATAATATTTTTCACCGTAGTCTTTATACCCAACGCGGAAAAAATCCAGTCCTAAACAACTGCTTCAGTTCAAAAAGCTTAATTATTATTCTTTTTTATGATATTTCATGTAAAAACGAAATTACAGACAAAAAGGAGTGCTTATGAAATTTTACATCAAGTCGTTATATTTGAAGACTGATTTGATTTTCTCTCTACTTGCTATTTTACGCTTCTTTTTAAGTTCAAAACCACTATTATTTTATTTCAAACCGTTTATTTGATGTTTTAACAGTGAAAATAAAAGAAATATCGGAATATACATCGATTCATACGCTTAGAACTCTAATACCGTAATACTCTAGTACCGTATGTACGGCCTTGCTATCGTATCGGGCTTGAACGGGCTTGCGGTAGCCTGCGTTCAATCGGTTTATTTCTTTCGAAATAACCGTTATTTCGAGAGAATTAAGCTGAACGAAGGCTACCTAGTTAGTGGCCGTAAATTTTAATTGAAATCAAAAATGGTTCAGTTGACAAAATCACTTCGAGGTAAAACCGGGGTAAAAGCAAAAAAATTCACATCGAAGTTTTGTTTATCAAGCCGTTGCTATAAAACAACGAGAGCCTTAAAAAGGCATAAACGACCTCAAATTTAGCTGAAACGTTAACTGGAGATTGGACAAGGTACAAACGACGATTGCAGCAAGTTTGAAATCAAATCTTAAGCGAAAATTTTATTTTTAAACGTTTATCCTAACTCACATACATACAAAAGAACTTTTGGGCTGAATGTGGTCATCTTGGGGGTGACCCAGGAGTCGAGCATTTCCTGCTAACCATTGTGAAAGTGAATCCCAACGTATTGTATTAGGAGTCAAGACTGACATTTTCGGTGAATTGTATTCGCAACTGTCCATTGGATGCTTGCAGTCACTCAACAAACCTAGCTGTATTTTCGTCCGTAGAGTTGCATTTGTTTCAGTTTTTACGTACCAAGAAACGAAGAAATTCTCAAAAGTTATTCGGCTACAAGAACTAGTGTTTATCTATTTGCGGTTCGTTGCGCATTCACCGGTAACGCTTTCGGTTCGTGACGGTGCTCTGCCCCAGCATTCTGCTTCAGGAATGAGCAGTGATCTTGCATGTGCTTGGTTGAACGATTTGATTTGCACCGTCACCGTGTCATGTCTCTTGCCGTTTCGCGCCATATAACAGACCCACTCTATCTCCGTACTTCCAAGCCCAAAAATTAAAAGCTAGCAACTTGGCTGATTGCCACTTTTGTTTTGCAGGTTCTAGCTAGATTAACAGCCTGCCAACATGCCTGGATTCGACTTGAACGACAGCGATCTTGTGAACATTCCGGAAAAGTACTTCTGTTCGTCATGCAATAAGGTCCTAAATGATCCTGTACAGACAAAATGCGGACATTTCTACTGCAGATCGTGTATCGATGACTTGAGARAGTAAGTTTACCTCTCCTGGTCCGGAGAACVCCAAAGAAAAACCCTCAATCCAAGGGAAAGACCTAACAAACTCTACTCACATGTGATGCAAAGTCCTAGAATCAAACTCGCGACACCTCAGAGGTGTACATGATTTCTTCCTTCAAATGAGGTTTATCATGAAATTTGACTGCAAAATCCTTTTTGTTCCTCTTCAAAAAATACCCTAAAATTTTACTCTTAATCTGGTCAGCGTGATAGAGGTCTATAGTATGCAAGCATGAAGTATCGTTGGTGCTATGCTATCTTGCGTACGCCCAACTAAATTACGGAAAAGTGTAAGCTAACGATTGAATCAGAAAACCGTACGATAGATGATAGAAATTACAGCGCAAAGCTTCATAAAGAGTAGTCTCSCACACAGCCGCTTTCAGTGTCGTCACGCAACGCTTTCTCCCCAGAAAGCATTTTGCTTGACGACACTGAAAGTGGGGGAGACTACATAAAGAGGGGATTTGATTTATTTTCGCATAGACGGCATGACTATACAGTGATCATTCTATCTCTATAAGAATGATATGATGAATGTTTTGCTTTGTTTTTAGCAGGTCAGATCGCAGTTTACGATGCAAAATAGATAATACTTGGCTCGTAGAAAATGAGGTAAAATTATTATGTATCATTAATCAATTTGAGTGAAAAAAATGAAAATATTATTCATGCATATATATTTATCAGACAAGATAATCTATTTACAAACTTACGTGAAAAAAAATTTTATATACAAGAACAAAAACAAAAACAAGAATAAAGCTAGTATTTAAGTTCGAGTCCTAAGCCTAAATTAAAACTTAGTTWAAGTTTATTATTTTATTTATTATTTTATTAACTATTTGTAAATTTAATTTGTGAACAAATAAAGACCATTCATTTCATCGCGCTAATGACGTCATCATGGCACGGCACGGTGAAACGTTTTTCATAGTCACACGGTTTTGTATAATTTTGATGATGTTTCCCCCCAGATTTTTCCTGACAAATGTGTTTCGCGCGAGGTCAACGAGTTGAATGTCAGTTGTCCCCAAAAGCCGTGCATGTGGCGTGGAAAACTGAAAAACCTACAGGTAAGCACCAAGCACTTAATCCCTATACCTGKTGATCAAAATAAAGCAAAAAATATTAAAACCAAAAAAATCAAAATTCTCTGGAGAATCGGTTCAAAAAATTCGATCAGTCTTATTTGTRTACTTTTCTTGTTGTTTGGAGCTGCAGTCGTAGAAGTCTCGTCGAGGTGTATTTCTTGTGTCGTTGTAGTAGTTCTTGTCCATGATAAACCCGAACAACTCAAGAGGAAACCCTTTGCAAGGGAAACAAGCACCAAACGAGTTCTATTGTGGTGTCAGCAACTAATGTGGTTATTCATTTAAAACAGGAGCACTTCTGGGTATGTGTCTATATTCTGATGCCATTTATGTCTGATGGCAGTGAAATGCCTCGACAAACAGAGGTTGACGGCCATCTTGAAGAATGCAGAGGAGTAAATAAAGCAAGAAAAGACGAGGTACTTTTGACAAACGTGAACATCTGGGTTAAAGATCTTTGTTTCGTCATTGGTCATTTTTTCCCATTTTCCTCTCATTTTTAATCCCATCCATTTAATAAAAGCAGTCGTTTATCTGTTCCTATAGGACACTTAGCTGACATAATTATTGACTAACATTGTTATAAGCCATACTAGAATTTTTTGCTTTACAACTCTTGAGTAATGGAAATCTTGTCGTCATAAACGTTGTGACTAAAATGTTCATCTTTTCTTTTTTTTATTTCTTTTTTTTTTGGTTTTCAGGCATCATTAACTATGCTCTCGTCACTGTGCTCATTCTCTGATCTATCTTCTTTGAGAGGCCCACATGGTGGCTGTTTCTTTGAGCGTATTGGATGTAAAATACCGAAAGTAAGTAATGAATATTGTCGTTAGYCAGAAGTTAGCTAGACTACTATAACAGGTATTGGCTTAATGGGGTGACAGTGTTAGTAGAGTGGTTTCGATCGTATGAGTGGAAAATGCTGCTGCTATAGTTTGATGATGATGGCTGATGATGATAATGGTGATTATTAATGATGATGCATGATGACGATTATGGTGGTGACGTTGRTGATGATCGCTAATGGCGATGGCGATGATGAYGGTGATGACGGTGGTAATAATGATGATGGTGATGGTGGTGATGGTGATGACTAATGGCGATGGTGAAGATGATGATGGTGGTAATGATGACGATTATGGTGGTGTTGATGATGGTGATGATGATAGTTATGACTGATGGTGATGATGATGATGGTGGTAATGATGGCGGTGATGATGATTATGTTGGTGGTGGTGGTGGTGATATTAATTGTGAAGAATGATGGTGTTGATGGCAATGCCCTTGATAAAGACGATGATTGGGGCAAAACCAAGACGTATATACTCAGCAGATAACAATGATAGTGGTGATTAAAGTGGTTAGGTAATAACGAAGATAATTGACCTTATCTATGATAGTCGTGATCCTGATTTCTTCATTCAATCTCCAGTCATTTAATTCCTGGCTTATTTTCCCCTTCAGACATTAACRGTGAAACAACTAAGAGAACACAACTTGAGATCCGTTAAGCACCACATCAGCTTACTGATTGACTACGTCCTAAACCAAGAGCAAAATCTACAGAGAATCTTGACTCAAAACCTTGAAACTTTAAAGAGGCAAGTCAGCGACCAGGCAGAGAAAATTTTACATYTAGAAAACGTAACGAGAGGATTGTGGGGTTTTGACTTGGAAGCTATGCTTAGGAGACTAATAAACGCAGAAAACATGAACGCTGATTTTGGAGTTCTAATAGTAGAACTCAATACCAATATTGAAGATCTTCGTAAAAAAYATTTGAAGTTAGAGAAGCAACAAGAAAATCATYTTCGAACTACAAACGAACTAAAGGCAAAGGTAGATCGTGAACTTCAGTCTCCAGGACTTCGRAATAGCGCTCCGTTGAGCGTGGATGAACAATTTCAGTTGCTCTCCATGTCTTCGTTTGATGGGGTTCTKTTATGGAAGATTACTGATGTTCAACGCARGAGAAATGAGGCTATGACAAACAGAACCGCATCGATTTGCAGCCCACCTTTTTATACTGATCGWTATGGSTATAAAATGTGCCTTCGTCTATACTTTAATGGCGATGGCCTTGGAAGAGGCCAGTACCTTTCGCTATTCTTTGTCATAATGCGAGGTGAATACGATGCCTTACTCCGTTGGCCGTTTCGTAACAAAGTCACAATGATGCTGTTGGACCAGAACCACGTGGAACACGTCATCGACGCCTTTAAACCTGATCCAAGCAGCTCTTCCTTCCAGAGACCGAGGAATGCGATGAACATCGCAAGTGGATGTCCCATGTTTTGTCCGCTGGCYGATCTTGATAACCACGCATATATCAAGGACGACACCATGTTTGTCAAAGTCATTGTCGATACATCAGACTGCCTCTAAGTTGTCTAGCTATATATGCACTCTAGCTTAATGAGCTTGACGACACTAGACTACCCACCACAGGACGCCTACCAAATGTTTTTCCAGAGAACCTCATTTCGACAGTGATGAGGGGACTATGATGTCTCACACGGTTAAGAAGACCTCGTTTTAGAGATCAAAGGATCGAAGTGAAAACTCTCGTAAGCAGACAGACCTGATATCACGTACATCTTTCAAAAATCTCGTTTTTCCTCCCAGACCAGTACATTTTTTTCTGAATTAATCAGTTTTAGAAAATGTTCTCGTAAGCGCACACTGACCCCATTTTATGCTATGTCCGCTTACGAGAACTCTTATCATAGGCAGACAGCACTACAATTAACCTCACGCGAGAGGGCCCTGGGAACGACAATGCTCTACTAACGGAATTTTTTTCAGATATGATATAAATATAGCACCCGTAGTAAAAACTTCGTGAGCACATTACGCTAAACAAGTTGTAGGGAGCGTAGTTCTCCTCAATTAATTATGTAGGGAGTGAGCTAACATGTTCCCTTAGTATATATTGCTGTAAAAACTGCGTGTATCAAGGCATAGAGGGGTCATATCGATCTATGTCTATACATATCTGTACCCACTTTTGGCCAGCTTTGTGTGGGCGAACTTGAAGCTTCTGGAAATTTTATTTCCGGCTTAAGCATTGATGTAAGCTTGATCTTTTAGGAAAGTTGCTAGTGGTTTAATCTTCTTTACCCGATTATTTCAGTTTCGTCGTTTTAGAGTGAAGTCATTAAACCCGTGAAATAGACATTAGACTAATACACATTAATAGACCCTAATTCCACTGTTTTCTTTTGTGTCTATTTGACTATTACAAGTTGATTAGTATTCATTAAACCCGTGCAATAGATATTAGACTAATACACATTAGTAGACCCTAATTCCACTGTTTTCTTTTGTGTCTATTTGACTATTACGCGTTGATTGGTATTCATTAAACCAATTAAATAGATATTAGACTAATACACTTTAGTAGACCCTAATTCCACTGTTTTCTTTAGTGTCTATTTGACTATTACATGTTGATAAGTTTTTTTTATTTCACTTCACTTTTGCCTTCACTCTAATAATGAAARTACAAGTTGTGTAATCTTTTGTTGCAAATAAATTATCGCATCGATATGAAATCTTTTTTCTTTTTCTTTTTCAAATGAATCATAATTGAAAAAGGAAAAATTACATGGAAAGAAATAGCAAGGAAGAATAAAGACAAGGAAAGGAAATAAATGGAAAGGAAATAAAAGAAAGAAAAGGAGGAAAAGAACAGAAAGAGAAAAAAAGAAGAAACGAAACAATAAAGGAATGAGAAGAAATAAAATAGCAAAGAAAAAGAAAGAAAAGGAAAGAAAGTAAAAGAAAAAAAAAATTAAGATAAATTGAAAGAATATGAAAAAGGAAAATAGACTGAGCTAAAATCTACCCCTTCCCCACCCCCGAAAATCCAAGATATGTCACTTCTGCCCAATCCCCTAGCGGAAGCACAGACGGTGAGCAGCCGGAAACTGATAAAAAAGGATTCTAAAGAATTCTCTTAAGATTCTCCTCTTTTTACCCAAATATTCACATTCAAGAACAAGGTATTTGTGTAATAACTTAATCGTATCGTTATATTTAACGCTTGAGAAGTCARGTTTCAAAAATAGTGTTTGTTTAGACGTTATTTCGTTCTTCCATGTCGAACATATCGTAAAACGTATTTGTTTGTTTTCGCAAATTAACSTGATATTTTTCTTCATTTCCACCAGATTTTCTGAACTGTAATGTCTACCAGTGCCGAATTTCCTGTACCAGGTCCTTTTAAAGAAGCTCTGAAGAACCTAAGGACAGACTCAAGTGATGTGAATTGGTAAGGTTTGTCGTGACCTGCTCARCTGAATATCGACACACCTCTCACACCGCCATTAATAATTTCAATCTCGTGTTAAGTCTCGCTGAAGCGAATCAAAAGTGTCGCTTTTCATTTATAATTCTCGAGAATTTGAAAAGACTAAATCAGATTGACAATGAATTTAATAAGAAATATGTTATTAGGAGTCGCATATTATTTCTAGTGTAATTAGCTTTCAATACAATGGACTTATTTAATTTGACATTTTCTCCCCACTATCCCCCTGTCAGTATTTTTTTCCTTTCACCCTTCATTAGCCTCTTGCACAGCTGCTGGGAGGCACCTCCAGAAGCACCTCACAGCAGCTGTGCAGGAGGTTACTCTTCATAGAACACTCAATAAAACTACTCGGTTCTGATTGGCCAAGAGCAGTGTAATTTATTGTACTCGTAGAAGAATACATACACATACCTTCTTTATCAATTTTGTTGAATGGTTTATGAACAAAAAATGGTGCAACCTTCTTGTTATCAATTCATAATTGAATAAAGGGTTGTGCAATTCTTGGGGTGTAACCACATGACTCAAAATCCATCGAGATATATAAATAACAATAAAACAGCCATCATGTTGGTTGATCTAACAAGAGAAGCTAATAAGGAAATTGATTTGCTGACACTAACCAACATGGTAGCTATCACGCAACTTGCTTCCGAAGAGTTACGAATACTAACACCCAGGGTCTTAAAATAACTGAGGAGAAAGTGCTGCCTTTGTAATTCCGTGGTTAGACTTTCAAGTGGCTTGAATGACCACTTTAAGTGGCGGTCCTGTCTCTCCAAACTCATCATATTACTAACCAACATCTGAGGGACGTAAAAGAACCACTGATCCAGGACTAAAAGAAACTCTGGCAGTGACCACCCTCAGTGTTAACACCTCATACTAACCATCCCTAATGTTTGTAAACTGAATAAAAAGCAATCTCAAAACATATAATCACAACTCATGTATCCATATAAATCATAAATCATTATAATAATATTTTTGTTATTATCATCATAGGTTGTTGGTGGGCCATACCAATGGAAACATTAATGCTTTAGAGTACAGATTGTCAGGAAGTGGTGGCCTTGCTGAATTGGAGGGCCATTTCAAAGATGACGAGGTCATGTATGCTTTAGGTAGGTGCTGTATATCTATTATTACTGATATTAAAATAGTTGATAGTTTAATATATTCATTATATTTCAAGATGATATATCCTGTTTAACCCACTAAGATATTGTTTTGGCTCATAATCTTTTTTTTTGAGGAACATATTGAATGAATACGATCATAAGAGATAATTAGCTAAAAACTAGTGTGAGCTGCGTCGGTGTTTCTAATGAAACAGTAATGATAAAAGGRTAAATTATACACCATGAAAAGATGAACAAACTTACTGCAATCTTTATGATATTCGCAATAACAATCCCACCAAACCATTTTCCCACCTTTCTTAATCTAGCTAACCATTCTCTTTCTGACTCAGGGACGGCGGAACTGGGGGGGGAGGGGGTGGGGGGGCTTTAGTCCCCCCACTTTTTGTGAAATTTTAAGTAATAACTCTATTGACGACTCGTAAAACTCCAGTGTATGCGGGTTGAGCCTCATTTCTGAGGTCAGTAAACAAAAGCAGAAATTAGAATAACAAACCAAGCAACTCCTGGATTCAAGGCTAAGCCAGAATACCCGGACGACATCAATTAAGCAAACCCCTTATTATAAATCCACCCTTCAAATATAAACAGATCACAACACGAACACGAGACGAGAGGCAATATTTTAAGTGCACTTGCTTTAATAATGCCACCATTAATTTGATCAAAACCTAGATTGAAATTATTTATTTATTTTCATTTAAATTCAAGTTCGTTTGAAAGAGGAATTTGACCTGAGTACAACAGTCAAGTTTGTTTATATCCACTGGATCGGCAGCAAAGTACCTTTCACCAAGAAAGGACGATATGGTATTGTACATGGATCAGTTATGGATAAGTTTGGAGTAAGTATATATATGTGATTAGGAATAGCAATGTTGATAATGATAATAATGATAAAGGACAATGAAGACAACAAAGCATAATTTTCTCATTTTTTCTCATTTGCCTGCAGCAAAGTCATTTTACGCTAGAGACATCAAGCCGAGAAGACTTGACTGAAGCAGCAGTGATGAAATTGGTTAACGAAACTTCGTAAGTGAAGTCTGGCAATTATGATGAATAGAGATCATCACATGTTAAGAGCTTGATATCATTATTATTCATGAGTTTCCATAGCATGTCGCGAACGAGTCTGAGAGTGAGTGAGTGATACAATATGGAAAACAAGTGAATAAAAAAATATCAGGCTCTAAACATGAAATAACCCTATAAGTCCCACGAGAACCCAACTGAGGCAGATTTTTAATCTGCTTATACACTCGATGTAGCATAAACTTAACATATAGATCTTTACCGAGTGAAAAAAACACATTTCATGAAATAACCCGTTTATTACGCATTTAAGGTGGATAAAATGAAAAAAAAAWTCCAGTTTACCATAAAGTGATATTGTATGCATATTCACTAACCACTGGCTGTAAAATTGAAAAATTTTTCCAACTTTTTTTTTTTGCAGTGGTACCAAAAGTAAAGTGATGGAGACTTCAGAAGCTGCTGCTAGAAAGGTAACACACATCTACATAAAATACTTATTTCTGATTGGTTGATTGGCCCTTAACTTTTTCTTAATTCATGTAATTAATTGCATCCCAGCGCATGTGCATGCAATCAATTAATTGCACACATCTGGGAACTTTAATGCGTAGTGGCTAGGGAACGTTTTACCGTTTTTTGTTGCTTGAAATGCAAAAGGGGAGGGGAGGGTTGTGTCCTTTATTGAATATTGGCTGGAAGTCAGTCCCTTCCTTTCCCCTCTCCCCCCCTCCCCTCCCCCTCCAAAAGTGGACAGACAAATACAGTGCACATCATATTAAATCCAAGGTCAGGCCTAATAATATTTATACTATATAAATACAAGCAAAAAAACGTGGAAATTGTTAAATGGAATGGAAACTTGGACTGGACACTGGTAAACTGGATGAATGTTGGAATGTTRAAAATCAGTTATTGAATTTAATTCCTTTGTTAAAATATGTTTTAAGAGGTAGTTAACATATAGCCATAGAATTTTTAGCAAAAAAASCAGTTTTTAAAGTGTTTCGATCCGGAGATCCACTAAACCGAAGTCCAATCCATRRGCCATTCCAGGACGCGATTCCKGATTTTCCAAYTTAAAAATTCCTTTAAATGACAACTTTGGTTAAAATAAAGACAAATCAGCGGTTTAACTACAGTTTTCTAAGGTGAATATTATGATTTGCACTCATAGAATCATTAGTAGGCTATATATACATAGAGAAAACTTTTCTATTTTAAAGGACCGAGGTTTTACCAGCAGTAGTAATATTGTGAAGACTGGAAAACAGATGTCTGGAGTCAAGGCTCCAGATGCAGGTGAGAACGTATTTGCTATCATGCTTATAGGACACTTGTATTATCGCATCATTATCTACAACTACCAGAATCCTTTGCACACTTTCTTTTGTTCAGTTAATTAGCACCAATTGTCTTTTTATTCCATGATGTTCAGCTTACCTATAACCCATCATATACTATGCATTATACACTGATGCAGCTCAAACTAGTTTACTCGCTAGTTCTCTTTTTATTCTGCAGTGTTCAGCTTACCTATAACCCATCATATTATATGCATTACACACCAATGCAGCTCAAACTAGTTTATTCGCTAATTCGCCAAATCTATTCTTGTATCCTTTTGGTATTTAGTTTCTATGAAGTTTGATGATGAAGTGTTGGAAGCAATAGCTGATGTACGCAGCGATGAAACGCAAACAGATTGGTAGGTGCTAAAGGGATAACTCTAGACACAATCAAATGGATTGATAAGAATACAGGGATGAATGGATGGATGGATGGATGGATGGATGGATGAATGGATGTATGGATGGATGGATAGATTGATAAATGGATAGATTGATGGATTGTACGTATGCAATGAATGGATGGATGGATGGTTGGGATGGAAGAATGAATGGATTGATGAGATGAGATTGGATTGGATTGGATTGGATTGGAAGAAACAGCTCGGACGGACGGACAGACGTTCGTCAAGGAAATGTTATTCATAATATAATTTCTAATTTGTTTTAGGTGTGTAGTCGAATACCAAGCCAATAACCCCAAAAATCCCATCGTGCTTCGCAGTAAAGGCACTGATGGTCTGGATGGTATTAAAGGGTGTTTAGAGGAAGACAAAGTGGCTTATGCACTCCTACGAGTGGTAAGTAACCTGTTCTCGAGTCTTCATGACAAACAAGATGAAACTATGTGGATGATAACTAGTAGAATATTAGCGTGGACTGCGTCGGTGTTTCTGAAAAAACCGTTGGAACTCGTAGATAAATTGAATCAACGTGAAAAGGTTGATATCAACCTTTTTACGGTGATTCAATTCATCTACAAGTTCCAAGATGAAACTATTCTTGGGGCCAACCACTTGACTCAAAATCCCTTGAGATACAAATAACAATGAAACAGCCGCCATGTTGGTTGATCTAACAAGAGAAGCTTAATGAGTAATCTTGAGGAATGCCTTGTTATCGTCAACCAACATGCGGCTATGAGTCCCAAGAGCCGGACCACCTCGTTAGGGTCCTCTTGCCTCTTTCCTGTGGCATTTAACCGCAATATTGTAAATAAATAGAAATAACAAACAAAAAGAGGACAGGCAGACTAGCGGGGATGGGGTGAACAGTGAGTTTACGTCAAAGAATTTTCAGTTTTCATTTCTTGAATTTTACCAGCCTGATGTGTTGGATGGTATATCAACAGTGAAGTTCGTGTATCTGCAGTGGGTGGGAGAAAACGTCAAGCCAATGATGAAAGGTAAAATTAGTGCAAACAAGTCATCGATGGACAAGGTCTTCAACGTATCCTTTAGACAAGTAATAATAAGGCCTGTTCTTGTGAGGGTAATGAAATGTAACCCGCGGGATGCGTGTAGCGAGGTACCTCGTGAAACCCGCGGGATGCGTGTAACGAAGTACTTCGTGTAACCCGCGGGATGCGTGTGACGAGGTACTTCGTGTAACCCGAAAAATGCGTTTAACGAGGTACTTCGTGTAACCCGAGGAATGCGTATAATGAGGTACTTCGTGCATCCCGCGGGGTGCTTGTAAGCTGCGCGGGAGTTTTTCACTTTTAACCCACARGAGATTGCTACCTAGTTCAGTTTCCTTAACGTTACATGAAGCCTTTTCACGTRCTTATCTACGCAACCAATCAGGGGGAATTACTATCAGAAAACATTATAGACAAAGTGTCTAGTGCCAGTGGATCCAAGTCACATGTCAAAAAGTAGGACGTGAAAGACTAGGGAGAGGTAATMTTGTACATCTCATCTTATTGGATGAATCAAGAAATTCGAATTAACCAATGAAATAAGGGCTTCTGTCGTCCAATCAGATGAGGTGTTTTAAAAARCGTTTAGTAGTAACAGCGTTGTTAGCAGACAGCGGAGATAACAGTAATTGTTGCAACCCATATTCTTATTATTAAATAATATTTAATAGTATTTTTAAAGTGATTATAATAATACGAAAATTAATGAAACTTAAAGTAAGCCTGCACGATATTATTTTTGGATTTTGAATTTTTCCATTTATATTTTTTCCGACAATTCAAATAAAAACTAATCGAGTGATATGTAAACCTTGTGTGTTGAATGGTGGCGTACTGGTAGAACAATCGATTCTCACTTCTGCATTTTTAAGTTGGATTCCCCGGATTTCGTCTAACATATGAGTAGAGTTTGTTGGATTCCTAAGCATTTTTCTGCAGTAGTAAATCTAGTTTACTCTAAATCTATGACGTTAAACTGACCACGGTTTTCCTTYCTCCACAAAATCTTATAATAATAGATTCCAATTCGATCTGTGAGGTAGCCATGCCCTGACTTAAATCAGCCCAGAGGTTGTTTCAGGGTTTGATCTGTGAGGTAGCCATGCCCTGACTTAGACCAGCCCAGAGGTTGTTTCAGGGTTAGATCTGTAAGTTAGCCATTCCCTGAATTAGATYAACTCAGTCAGAGGTTGTTTTAGGGTTCAATCTGTGAGTTAGCCATTCCCTGAATTAGATCAACTCAGAGGTTGTTTTAGGGTTCTATCTGTCAGTTTGCCGTGTAGTAACTTAGATTTAGTCTGGTTTGGTTTATATAATACTTGCCAATTTGTTTTAGGAAGACCACCTTTTTTGGGGAAGATCTATTATTTAACGTCCAGTATTGACTACCCAAGCTAAAAGTGAGACAGTTTACCACGCGTCASTTTGTTTAACAGTTTAATGCTTCTTCCAAATTGTATTACAATTGAAACCACCAAACAATTCTTTTGCATTGCAAAAAAGCTATACGAGATAGACAAAAACACTGTCATTCTGAAGAAGACATTGACTACAACTACCAGAATCCTTTGCACACTTTCTTTTGTTCCGTTAATTAGCACTAATTGTCTTACTATTCTCATGAATTTGAATAAGAGAGAAAAAATTCGTGCAACTTTTTGGTAGGGGTAGTGAACGAGGCCTCCATCGTGCAATTATGCTATTCTATCTACAAYGCTATATAAATATGATATTACGATAAGTTTAAATATCAATGATAAATACTTTAAAGGCGAACAGTTTTTATAAATGTTTAGTAACTCTCGCAAAGATTCACTATTGAGGAAAATATAAAAAAGATGTTAAATATTTTGAAGGCCATTGTCAGAATGGCGACATAAGTATCATCAACGATATATAAATATTTTTTATTGGTTTAGCAATACTCCATTTTCGATTTCTCTGTTGATGCTATTTACTGAGAAACTGAAAGAAAAAAATGAATGCTACTGCATGCTACTGCACACTCATGCACTGTGGCTTTGAAATCAGTTCCAGGTATTGTGATTGGATGCTTTTCTTTGATTTTGATTGGTTTAGAAGAAAAGTCATTTCACTGTCACGAGCGTACTTTTCTCACTACGGCTTAGAACAGGAAGCCATTGCTGTGTTACTGCGTGCCACGCRTCAGTCTTGAATGATATCCTGTTATACATTATACATTTAGAAATTTTTGATTACTGGAAAGAAATTTGTCAAGAAAAAAATTGAATCTTCTGGAGCATCGTACAAAAGAAATGTATGGCTTGCTTTTACACGCGGTTATTACCGTATACCGGAGAGCTACAAGGCATTATCGTTCCATCTCTCACCGACTTGACATCAGATTTACTAACGATTGAAAAACGAAGTTCTTTTGCGTTTTTCCTCAGTCGCCATTCACCCATTTCTTCAACATCTCTTGTTCGTTTTCCTTACTCTTTTGGTGGACGCACATTCGCATGCAATGGTATTCACAAAACATTCATTTTTGTTCGGAAGATAGATAACATCGTACACTGGTTGACAGCTACTAGTGCAAAAGGAAGACATCGAGCAAGTGACTTCTCGTATCCGTTGGCCAGCACATTGGTAAGCTGCATGTTCACATTGACTGTTTGTATTTAAACTTGTTCTTCTCGATGGAAGGCACTCAGCTAAGTTTTTCAGTAGCCGATATTTACTCACATCACGTCGCATTCTATGTGGTGATGATRTCACATATGACGTATTTCCTCCAACCATGACGTCACGAGCTAGGCGAAGAGGCTGGTACCAACTTGGTTTGGTAGATGAAATCCTTGTTGTCCGAGTCTTCAAAGAYTTCCCGACCACAGCAGCCATGAACAGCAGGAAGACACACGCACGCACCGTTACCATGATGACCTGTCGTGCAATATAATGGTAATGAGTCAAATCCAATTTGTGGCCTATCATCAATGCTGCATTCTGATTGGATGAGCTACTACTAGGCTATAACTTATATCTAAAAATGCYTACTTTGAAAAACCAAARCATTGAATTTAACTTTAATTCAAGACTTGTTTGCGTCTATACTTTTGACCGACTAGAGCAAAAACACTTGAACTGTGAAATAGAATCAAACTAGTTACTAACAAATAGACGCTATTTAGACTAATAGTCGTTAGAGTCACTCTATCACTGAGCCAGAACAGTTTATGACACAACAAGGAATACACAAGAGACCAATACAAATATGTTTTCCTTTGTGTGAGTCCTAATTACTCTAATAAATTTGCTTGAAATAAAACTGGATAAAAACATATTTGTATTGGTCTCTTGTGTATTCCTTGTTGTGTCATMAACTGTTCTGGCTCAGTGATAACGACTATTAATATCTAAATAGCGACTATTTGTTAGTAACTAGTTTGATTCTATTTCACAGTTCAAGTGTTTTTGCTCTAGTTGAATTTGACTAAAACAATTAGTCCTCTAGTCGCCCTCATGCATGGCCTTTGAGTCAATAGCCAAGAGAATATTCTCTTGTAAATAGCCCATTCGTGATCGAGGAGTAATTGCTAAATATTCAACAAATTGTTTTTGATATTCGCTAAACATTATTTTCGATTGATAATCAAAGAGTTGTCAAATTGGCGAGCAATTAGTGTCAGTCGAAAACTGTTTCCGGAGATTTATTCTACTTCCTCAACTATCGATTATAAGCGCCTAGGATAAGGTATTAAATCAAGCGTTTGGGAGTTTCAAACACTTTAACTGGACGTTTGAAAGACCTCGTTCTCATACAGCCTGAATGCTTGAAGCCTTTGACGTCACTTACCGTTCCAAATATGGAATATTGCACCATTTAAGGCCTTGAACACGAGCTATCCACAAAGAACACTCTTTTACCTTGAGTTTAGTCGGTTTACATGCCGCTAATCAATAATTCASCGGTTTTGTTCGATAGTTTGTCGTAAATTAATGTCGAATCGTCTGTACTTAAGGYCTGAACAGAGGAGCGGCTGTTGTAGGCTAGAAAGGCTGGTAGTACCCAGAGAGTGCAAGACACAAGGGTAATATGATCGTACGACGAAATTTTTGTACATTCTCTATGACACACTGTTATCCAGGGCATAGTCAAGTGACCTCGTTACAACCTTCATTACATAGTGCGAGCCTGCGACCATTATGAGCAGCGGTAACTAAATACTACAAWATGCGTGTACGTCCCTTGATTATTAGTCGCATGCACGGGACGTATCGCGGGTTCGGTTCCTGCGGACACCTCGTTTGACTGTAAGAGAGCTTGTTTGATAACTTTTTCTCTCTCTTGATTCGAGGGTTTTTCTCTGGGTTCTCCGGTTTTCCTCCCCCCGCAAAATCTTCATGCTAAATTCAAATTCAATCTGTGAGTTAGCCGTGCCCTGACTTGTAGATCAGCCCAGAGGTTGTTTCAGGGTTTCATCTGTGTGTTAGCCGTGCCCTGACTTAGATCAGCCCAGGGGTTGTTTCAGGGTTTCATCTGTGAGTTAGCCGTGCCCTGACTTAGATCAGCCCAGGGGTTGTTTCAGGGTTTCATCTGTGAGTTAGCCGTGCCCTGACTCAGATCAGCCCAGAGGTTGTTTCAGGGTTCTATCTGTGTGTTAGTCATGCCCTGACTTAGATCAGCCCAGAAATAGTTTCAGGGCTCGATATAACTAATGTCTTTCTTGATCTAGTTTATGGTTCATTTAGAAGATACTATAGAAAGCGAATGAACCACGATCTAAACCGGGGTGTGTTAATACCATTGTTCGTACCTTCATAAAGTAACGCCGCCTTATTTAGTCTACTAAATCTTTTCCGGCAAATTTTGATTCCTTTATGGTAAGAAACTGAACTTAGATTTAATAACTTTAGTTTTTAGCTTTCGGGAATCCGTYTCACTAATCTCGCAAAGTAATGTAGTCTTATGAGCTTCTACATATATACCAGGAACAAATAATTGAAAGATTTTTTCAATCRCGGCTTTAATTGCAATTCCAATTCAGCGCTCCATTGATTAGTCTTTGGTCGCGTTCGAAGGGCAGAAAACGGCGTTGCATGCGATTGGCTAAAGATTTTGTCGTTTGGCAGCGCCTCAAAGATTACTCTTTAAGAGGAAATKTTTTTCAATAACAAGCAATAATGGCAAAAAGCGTCAAAAACTAGACTTTTGTATGAGTTTTGATCCCAATTTTCGTTTTGGGTTAACACTCAAAATCTTTCTTAAACAGTTAGAAACTGATGATAAAATGCTTGTTTGAAGCGGTATTTTCAATTGTACAAAGATGTTTTGTTGCATTTGTGTTAGAATGTTTTTTGTCACGCTTTTTTATAGAAAATATATGGGAAATAAGCAAATGAAGGCCTAAACCTCATTTTCGAATAACCTTTTAGTTTTGGGTTAACCACTTTCCACTTTCATCGGTCATCTCCACTTCCAAACAAGTTAAGCTTTCTGAATAACAAGATTTTAGCCTTGTACAACATGCATTCTTTTAGAAAATAGCCTTTGGCGCTCACAGCTTGAATACGAAAAGAATTCTCTCTTTATCTCATTCCACTTCTCTTACCSGTAGCATTGCTCCAAAAAAAGAGCCTCCAAGAACAGATCGAACGCTAAAAATCTCTGGTCTGATCAAAGTCAAGGCACGGCGATGTATTGTGTTTTGCAGTGGGAGGAAAACCACAGAAAACTTCGAATAATTAAGTGAGTGACAAAGCTCGCAATTTGAAGAGTTCACCCGAGGTTCTTACACGTGCACGCGGATRTCCTTTATGGCGGGAATCCCAGCTTCTTTATTTAATTCTACGCGTTAAACTGTTAAAAACTCTCTTACTAAAGCCTGGCTCACATTGGCGTCAGAATCGGAAGCAACATAACGCAGGCTCAAAACAGTGCTTGTCATTTTTTCACACCTATGTGATACGTGTGCTGCCGARTCTGCGTATGTCGGTGCCTAAGGCTTCCGACGCTAGTGTGAAACAGGCTTTAACCCTAAATTCTTGTATTCTTCTAAACTGGGTCACTCAATAAAATACCAATACTTAACTGGAAGAAAAAAARTAGAGTACTTACCTTTATGGGATATTTCAAAATCTTAGGGTTTTTTTTTCTGTTATACAAGTCGGAACTCGTTTGCACAGTCAAYAGTCATCCACGTCTACCGGGGTCTAAATCTCAGTTTCAAACGACCCACCTTTTATATTTTCGCAAGATAAGCAAATTACATCGGGGGAAAAAACGGTTAATACAGTTCCATGTTGTAATGAGAATGGTAAAAAAAAAAAACCATGTAAAACATCTGGAACACATCTTATACTCTGAATCTCGCAATCACTTTTSGACTTGCAAATTTTTCCTATTGCTGAAGAAGGAAGAGAAAAACAAGATAATCAAAACGCATTCTTTCATTAAGCCTTAAGGTTTATTATAGTTTTAAAGTTCGAATTAGTCTTCTCGTGGGTTTTGAATTGAAGATTTTTGTCGAAAATACTCTGTTTTTTATGAAGTTGTTAATCTTTGTGGTAAAGTTTCAAATAAAAGCGGCAAATTTCAAAGAAATGTGGTGAGTTCTTTATTTAAGACATTTTGAAATTGGAGGACTCGCCCGTCTGTTGCCAGAGGCATTTGATCCGCTAATACTAATAACTACTTATAAGTAGATATAACAGATATCACTTTTAAAGCTCTTAGAGCTATGCTAAAATATAAAAATTATAGGAAAAAATACGCTGTAAAATAAATTTAAAAAAACTAACAAAATGACAAACATTTAAGGAAAAAAAGCARAATGAATTACAATTTAATACCTAATGAATTAAATATTAAATATTATATTCTATTGTCGTTTATACTAAATTTATTATTTATCATGAAGAACTTCACAAAATTGAAATCAAAATTTGATTTAAAAAAAAAWYTTTTTTTCTTCTGGTATTTCAATTTTTGCRATGTTTTACGAAAACTAATTCGTAACTTAGAAGGAAATAGCTATCAAAAGACTGTCTGTAATAACGTAATGCAGTTCAGAATAGAAACTATCAATAACACTTTTATTTTAAAGCGCTGTTCTGGGACTTAAAATAGCCAGATTACTCATCCTTTACATCTAAAAAACAGAAAGACATCCGCTGAAACAAAGACACATGGGCGCAGCCTAATTAAATCTTACGTAATTATAAATGACGTCATTTCAAAACGTTACTTGATATAGGTTGGCGTACGATAATGCAATTTATTTTGGTTGAGTGTTATTTAAATTGCTAACTAGAAATGTACTTGACAATTTCGACAAAACAGTGACAAAACCTATCGTTAAAATGGTTGGCACAATAACATCACAGTGACAATGTTTATAAATAAATATATATATAAATAAATACGTCCACCTGTAAGTTGAACTTTGTTATTGACTTTGGCTTGATGAACGTTTGTCACGTGACATTKATCGGCAGGGATTGTGATCACGTGGCTCTGTTGGCCCATTTCATTTGACTTGAAATAAAACGAAACGCCGTCCAAGGTCAATGAAGGAATGAATATATATGAGCTTAAACTTATTCACTGTGAATTATCATAAAAATCAGTTACGAATTCCCTAATGTCAAGGTTAAGGAAAAAACTGGGTCGAGTAAACATTGCAGTGCATTGTGGGACTTTCCTTAAGGGAACTTAATTTTGTCCCCTAAAACGATCCCACAATGCACTGCGATGCCAACTGACTAATAGTAACTTATATACCTATATATTTGAAAAGCAACACTACGCTCTATTTAAATCGTAAAAAAACAAATAACTGAATAAAATGCCTGGGGGAAAAGGTCTTAAGCCTTGATATTAAAAAACTTACACTCGCTCGTTCGTGATTTCATACAGACACTATCGACCAAATTCAAAACTCGCACCGATGTGAGGCTTAAGTTGTGAACAAAAAGAACTGGCGTGACTCAAAGCAATCTGGCGTGATTCAAAAGTCACGAATCACGCCAGATCCCTTTGTACACAACTTAAGCCTCACATCGGTGCGAGTTTTGAATTTGGTCTATTACCACGCAACTTAACCTAATTAGCAAAACCTAGTGTCATTCCTATTGTTTTCTATTGTCTTACTAGTGTAATTTAGTTACTAGTTACTGTTAGAGCGTCCGACTAGAACACTAGGTGGTGGGTTGGATTCCCATCAGGAACTCAAAAATATTTTCYGAGTTACCAATCTGCGCACACACTTCCTTCATACTCATCATTACTAATTATTTTAGTTTTCGTTCACTATGCATTAAAAAACTCACCTGGAATAAACCATCTAACATACAATATTTTCTATAGGTATCTCRTAAGCTATACACCTAAGTCCACAATGGCTCACGGCCGAGTGTGTTACATGAAAATGAGGCATCCAGGGCCAAATGCAAAGAAATAATATGGTGTCAATGCAAAGTATACTCTTGTTCACTTGTTCCGTCTTTCTTTCCTTCTTACATTCAGAATAGCGAAAAWTGTGCGGCATCAATTTATAAGAAAATGCTGTTAATTTGCCCTGGATGACTCGTTTTCAACCGGCCGTACGCCCTCCTTTGTTCAGAAGACATATCTACGTGCACAACCCCTCCTAACTCCTTGCCTCAGATTYTAAGTATTCTAGTGCATCAATCCTTTTCATTGTTTTCAAGTGTGTACATAGTTGTTGGACAGTGAAGTCTTCATTTGCCTGGACTAACCAATCTTCCAGCAATATCTTGGTAGGTTTTGGCTTTTCTGGGTTATCAAACGAATTATAGATGTTATATTCTATCTCCCACGCCGAAGCCAAGTGCCTCCAGTCCTTCAGGGTATTGCCAGCATTTTTGTTCATAAAGTTACACAGATTACGCAACTTATCGCTGTCAGGTGGAAAAACGTCCTTTATCGATCGGTCGTCTGAAACATGCATGAAAGTAAAAGAATTATGAGAGCTGAATCCTTTTCGAGCYGAAAACCTGAAACTACGAAATATTGAGCAACAAGCAAAATGTTATTTGATTGTACGGGCTAAGAGAAGCGAAATCAACTGGCTGCCATTCCTACTGCGCATGCTCAGAGAATTGATTTTTTTGTGGAGCAAGCGCAGTAAGAATGACAGGGGGTCGCATGGAGTCGAAATGGAGTTGACTCTGGGTTCCCTCAGAGGCTCTTTCGCTCCAGGACTTCTCGATCGGTCGTGCGTTTCGTTTTCACGATGCGAGAACCTACTTAGCACTCACTCAATGTGATGTATTCAGAAAATATGTTGTATTCTATTTTATGAGTACAWTACATTAACTACTTGCTAGGCTCTCCCTTTTCGCAATACATTTTCGTTTCCAGACCCTACTCATTAACCAAACTACGATTTTCTTTATGATGAGGCTCTGGGTACTAGTATGTTTCGCGATAACGAAACACACGACCGAGAAGCACTGGAGCGAGAGAGCCTCTCAAACCCAGTGAAAATTGGGGCATTTTTCTTTTGCATCATTCAACTCTAAGTAATTGTCCCTTATGGCATACTTCTTGCTTGTAAGCTTATACGATTATGGAATTTATCATATAAGAGATGGCTTACCTTGTAAGGAAACTCCCCATTTATCCAAAAAATCTTTTACATCCTTTCTTCGACGAAACTCTTCAATAAGGTTTCGAAAGTGTCCTCCCTTAAGTTTTTCTGGCTCCAAGGTGCTGTACGCATGCAGGAAGAGCTGATTTGCTGGATTATTTCCCCTTCCAATCTGCTGTAAATCATCTTTGGGAACCTTTAGTTTCTTCCCAAGTTTCTCCCAGTTATTATTCAGTGGGCTTTCTTTATCCAGCAGCAGTGCTACCTCGTCACAGAGGTCATAATCATTCAATAATGTCTCACCGACTTTCTTGTTCCAGTTTTCTTCTGATGATTAAAGGTAAATAAATAAAATAAATAAAYCTTTATTTAAGTGTCTAGTCGTGCTTGCGCTTTCGCACTAAACACTTTTCACACACACCCACACTACCACTACTTTCAATGTTCTATGCACACAACGCTCGACTCACATGTTGATTTTTACGGAGGGAGGAACCCGGAGGAAAACCTTGTAGCTTAGGAGAGAACAACACATCACGCGTGGCGACCGCAGGGCTCTAACCAGCAACCCGATCCGTCGGACTTACAGAGATGAAAGACGACGCATTAGCAGGGGGGCTACCAAATGAAGTACATATATGAAGTTAATAGGTTAAGTCAGTTGTTTAGGGGCAAGTTCAACACGATCTAAATTAAGGACTTGCTTTTATTAATTTACAGTTAGGAAGTGTGGACGTACCGGTAAATACCCCCTCTCCCTCAGAGATCTGTTGAAATACTCGATACGGGGTGTCTGTAGTGACTATTTCTATACGAAAACATGTTTTATACATTCATTTCTGCCATTTGAATTTTGGAGATATTTGAGTCTAGAAGGGTAAGTGTAGGTAACGGGTTGACCCACCCCTCCCCTCTAAATCGGGTCTCAAATTACGACACGAACGCTTTACTGAGTTTTCCTTTATRATTCTCCGATCGCTCACTAGGCATACACCATATTGAAAAACATTGTTGATTGAAAATGTAAAATCATCGAAGCGTAGACCGAAGGGTGTTCTGGGTAAACAGTTAATAAGGCTGSACAAATGGCCACCCCTGTGATTTTTCCAATTTTAAAACTTATTTTTCTGGGAAAATCAGATACAAATTGAACATCYAAGACTAGATCTAGAATGCAGTGTAATTGAGCTTATAACTTACCAGATATTTTTTCAGTGATCTTACTAACCACGTCATTTCGTCTCATCTCTCCTAGTATTGTTATCAACTCTGTGACGGTGGCAGAGGATACGTTTGGCACTTCCAAAAGAAGTTCAGTAGGACTATGTTTTGTGCTACATTTACACCTGTCCTTTACGTCATTAGGCGCATCTAGAAGGTCAGCCAGGTGTCTCCAGTTTTGTATAACCCTGTATTCATTATCCAGGCGGAGACAAAGTCCATCCAAAACACTGTTCTTTCGTTTGAAGAGATTAGCGAGGGCTGAAAGAGATTAGAGGTAAAAAGACATCATTTGATTGTTATTTGCTATARAKGTTTTGCACCATCACGTGCCGGCGCCATAATCGAGCCTAGACTGACTGTGGTTAGATGGCAGAACAATAAAATCCCTTTGCTCTTGGGAATTGAATTCTTACTCATGTAAAACGATTGTATTGTTCCTGCCATCGAACATGGCTGCCRTCACGTGATGGTGCAAAACCTCTATTTCAACAAATCAAAGTACGTAAAAGCAATTTTTCATTCCTCGCCAGACAAAAAACTTTTCATTTCTTTTCCRTCCTCATGGAAGCGTARGTACAAATAATGATTATATAAGAYTACAACTRTTTCAAAAAGGTTGGCGAAGGTTTTGTTGCATGTTGCATACCAAGCTTGAAATGTATTGTGGGTAATATATAAATAATGATTGTAGCTCTAGAGGAACTGTCTYAATACTGCCCACCATGGTTTTACATTGGTAATACAAAGACCAACTGAATAAATAGATGTTTTTGCATGGAACAAGACATATTCCAAAATAAGTACAGAATTATTTTACTTTGTTGTCCAGTCTTATCACCAAGGGTGGCTGCTGCCTGTCCAGTCCTATCACCAGGGGTGGCTGCTGCCTGTCCAGTCCTATCACTAGTGGTGGCTGCTGCCTGTCCAGTCCCATCACCAAGGGTGGCTGCTGCCTGTCCAGTCCCATCACCAGGGGTGGCTGCTGCCTGTCCAGTCCCATCACCAGGGGTGGCTGCTGCCTGTCCAGTCCTATCACCAGGGGTGGCTGCTGCCTGTTCAGTCCTATCACCAGGGGTGGCTGCTGCCTGTCCAGTCCCATCACCAAGGGTGGCTACTGGCTGTCCAGTCCCATCACCAGGGGTGGCTGCCACCTGTCCAGTCCCATCACTAAGGGTGGCTGCCACCTGTCCAGTCCCATCACTAAGGGTGGCTATTGTTTGTCCAGTCCTATCGCCAGGGATGGCTGCCGCCTGTCCAGTCTCATCACTAGGGGCACCATCTGTGCAGGATGTAGATGTCCTTTCTGTAAATGAGAAATAAGAAATATAATTATTGCATGAATTTACAAACTTCTAAGTGTCATTTTTCATATCATTAACTTAATACAATTATATGAAGTGTTTGTTATTTTTAATTAATAGCCTGCTTATCAATGTTAATTAAAAATAAATACCAATATATTATTATAATATTAGATAATAACAAAGTACCTTGATTGTTTCCAAAAATTGAAATAGAGATTTTATCATTTCCTCTTCTTTTAAAACTGCCAACTACAGTCTTATTGTCTTGAAGAAGAACTGGACCAGCATCTTCCAACTTTTCATAATCGTCTGCACCAATACCATACACATAGGGGGGAAGCTGATCATGATTATTCAACTTTACGCAAATCCATATGGGGGATTTAATTTTTTTATCATACATTAATCCATTAATTTCTTCTCCTAGTTCTCGAGCTACTAGAATCTTTTTGCTGTGTTTTTTCAAGAAATTGCTGTCATTGAAAAGTTGGGAATAACATGGAAAAAATATGTGGCCCTGAACTTTAACGAAGTTATGAGGTAAAGAATCAAGTGTACATTCTTTTGGTTTACTTGGCTTTGAAAAACGATGAAAAGAAACACGTACAGTAGCTTCATTTCTTTCTTCTTCAAAATCTGGATCATACATACAAACATAGTATTTAGACTCCTTAAACTTTGTTTTGTCAGCTGATTGTTTGATATACATTTTAATAAAGCTTTTAAGATTGGCATCATTCTTAACAATACAGCCATAATGTCTTCTTATCTCTTTTCCATTTTCGTATATCAGTTCAACAATGGCTGTCCCTTCTGTGCCATCTGGCTCGAGAGGATGTAGCCCGGCCATAGCTGTATGAAAGACAAGGCTGACTTAGCTAAAAAGCTATAGAAAATAGAAAATGAATGAATAGAAATCAAATAAACTAACAAATGCATGAATGAATGGATGGGTGGGTGGGTATAGTGAAATGGATGGATGGATTGGAATTGCAATAGGATGAATAGCATAGGATAGGATAGAATAGGTTTGAAGGGCATTTGATATTTTTCTCTTATTCTCTCTACTTCATTATACACACCCAACACATAATTTATTATTACTGTAAGATAGTATATATTCAAAAATATAGTATAAGTATAATGAATATACTAAATTATAAAATCTTAATTGAAAATAGGATAGGATGGGATGGGATGGGATGGGATGGGATGGGATGGGATAGGATAGGATAGGATAGGATAGGATAGGATTGTCATGATACATGTCACACTCGCTGTCACAAACAATAACATGATAACATGAACTATTTCACCCCGGCCTGCTCTCAGTCCGACCTCTATCGATCTAGCTCAGCTGGTAGAGCATCAGTTTTACAATTCCGAAGGTCGTGGGTTCGATTCCCAGCGAGGTCGGAAATTAATTTTTCCAAATTTAATTCCAAGGGTCTTTCGCCCNGTAATACAAAGACCAACTGAATAAATAGATGTTTTTGCATGGAACAAGACATATTCCAAAATAAGTACAGAATTATTTTACTTTGTTGTCCAGTCTTATCACCAAGGGTGGCTGCTGCCTGTCCAGTCCTATCACCAGGGGTGGCTGCTGCCTGTCCAGTCCTATCACTAGTGGTGGCTGCTGCCTGTCCAGTCCCATCACCAAGGGTGGCTGCTGCCTGTCCAGTCCCATCACCAGGGGTGGCTGCTGCCTGTCCAGTCCTATCACCAGGGGTGGCTGCTGCCTGTCCAGTCCCATCACCAGGGGTGGCTGCTGCCTGTCCAGTCCTATCACCAGGGGTGGCTGCTGCCTGTTCAGTCCTATCACCAGGGGTGGCTGCTGCCTGTCCAGTCCCATCACCAAGGGTGGCTACTGGCTGTCCAGTCCCATCACCAGGGGTGGCTGCCACCTGTCCAGTCCCATCACTAAGGGTGGCTGCCACCTGTCCAGTCCCATCACTAAGGGTGGCTATTGTTTGTCCAGTCCTATCGCCAGGGATGGCTGCCGCCTGTCCAGTCTCATCACTAGGGGCACCATCTGTGCAGGATGTAGATGTCCTTTCTGTAAATGAGAAATAAGAAATATAATTATTGCATGAATTTACAAACTTCTAAGTGTCATTTTTCATATCATTAACTTAATACAATTATATGAAGTGTTTGTTATTTTTAATTAATAGCCTGCTTATCAATGTTAATTAAAAATAAATACCAATATATTATTATAATATTAGATAATAACAAAGTACCTTGATTGTTTCCAAAAATTGAAATAGAGATTTTATCATTTCCTCTTCTTTTAAAACTGCCAACTACAGTCTTATTGTCTTGAAGAAGAACTGGACCAGCATCTTCCAACTTTTCATAATCGTCTGCACCAATACCATACACATAGGGGGGAAGCTGATCATGATTATTCAACTTTACGCAAATCCATATGGGGGATTTAATTTTTTTATCATACATTAATCCATTAATTTCTTCTCCTAGTTCTCGAGCTACTAGAATCTTTTTGCTGTGTTTTTTCAAGAAATTGCTGTCATTGAAAAGTTGGGAATAACATGGAAAAAATATGTGGCCCTGAACTTTAACGAAGTTATGAGGTAAAGAATCAAGTGTACATTCTTTTGGTTTACTTGGCTTTGAAAAACGATGAAAAGAAACACGTACAGTAGCTTCATTTCTTTCTTCTTCAAAATCTGGATCATACATACAAACATAGTATTTAGACTCCTTAAACTTTGTTTTGTCAGCTGATTGTTTGATATACATTTTAATAAAGCTTTTAAGATTGGCATCATTCTTAACAATACAGCCATAATGTCTTCTTATCTCTTTTCCATTTTCGTATGTCAGTTCAACAATGGCTGTCCCTTCTGTGCCATCTGGCTCGAGAGGATGTAGCCCGGCCATAGCTGTATGAAAGACAAGGCTGACTTAGCTAAAAAGCTATAGAAAATAGAAAATGAATGAATAGAAATCAAATAAACTAACAAATGCATGAATGAATGGATGGGTGGGTGGGTATAGTGAAATGGATGGATGGATTGGAATTGCAATAGGATGAATAGCATAGGATAGGATAGAATAGGTTTGAAGGGCATTTGATATTTTTCTCTTATTCTCTCTACTTCATTATACACACCCAACACATAATTTATTATTACTGTAAGATAGTATATATTCAAAAATATAGTATAAGTATAATGAATATACTAAATTATAAAATCTTAATTGAAAATAGGATAGGATGGGATGGGATGGGATGGGATGGGATGGGATGGGATAGGATAGGATAGGATAGGATAGGATAGGATTGTCATGATACATGTCACACTCGCTGTCACAAACAATAACATGATAACATGAACTATTTCACCCCGGCCTGCTCTCAGTCCGACCTCTATCGATCTAGCTCAGCTGGTAGAGCATCAGTTTTACAATTCCGAAGGTCGTGGGTTCGATTCCCAGCGAGGTCGGAAATTAATTTTTCCAAATTTAATTCCAAGGGTCTTTCGCCCAGAAAAACCTCGTTCCCAAGCACTATAACTTATCTATATTTCTATATCTTCATGCATAACATGATAACATATACTTGACCCGGTCTTATAATTACACTTGGATATGTACTATATTGTGTAACCCCAATCAAGACCATCTATATTAGTATACAGAAATAAAACTATAATTGTTAGAATAATTAAAGGATAGGATAGGAATGGATTGGAAAGGATGTGATGGTAAGATAAGTGTTTCAATATTAACTAAAGTGTTTTACTCGAGTAATCGGTGAAACAATCACATATACTTCGACTAATAAATAATGATGATAAAACTAGATATACAGGTTAAAAGATTATAGAAATTAAAGAATTAGAAACTTTGATGAAGATAAAACCACATGACAACTCGATTCTGGGAATCTTGGATCAAATTGACTCAGTGATTTTCATATCAAATTTGCGATAATCAGAGAAGCATTTCTAGTCCTGCTGGGCTGAATTTAAGTAAAACTAAGATAAAATATCTTTTTTACCCACCTTTTTGCACTTTCTAGTACTTTTAAGGGTATATATTTTCGGTTTATATACGAAGATAAGTTCTCTACTTCCGCCTTTGATGAAACCAGTAGCTCAGGGGGGTCGCTTCAAGSCGATGTCGCTTTCGTGATGTCACGCAAACCACAGGCTTCCCATAGCAAGACAAAGCATTGCTCATAGCTCCAGGCGGTTTGAACGTGGATCTCCTTTCTCCTCTACCAAAAGCAAAAGACCCCGACCAAAAGTGTTTTTGTGACGACATTTTCAATTCATTCTTATCCATATTATCCTCGTTGAACAGGTTAGTCAGAACTACCATAAATTGCATTGCCATGATGGCCTCGCAAAGAACGGGTCTGTGCCGTACATTTTCACTTTTTCACGCTTGTGTTCATSAGGTTGTATCGCCGAGGGTGGCTTATTGGGCAAGTTTATTACACCCGGCTTCGGCCTCACAAAWGTCGAGTTTGTGCAGTGCTTTTTCTTCGGTTCCCCAAACTGCTCCTGGTTTATATAACTATTTATTGAATTATTTTGCTTTTGGAAGATTCTAGTAATTTGCATGTAATTTGGTGCTCTATTGTTCCCGCCGTTTTTGCTGTCCCTTGTTTTCACACCTTAAGGCGCGATTACACGGAACAATTTAGACCCCGTCCACACTATGCCGGATAAATTTGAATCCGAATTTTTATTTATTCGGTTAGGCCTACCGCCCACACTAGTCCGGGCGAATCCGGAACAATTCTTCACCAAAAACGAATTTTCGAAATGGAACCGAAAAAATAAAAATTAGGATTCAAATTTATCCGGTATGGTGTGGACGGGGCCTTAATCTGCAACTTGTCGAATATCGCAACGGCGTGAAAAATGTTGCGAGACAAGTTGCAGCAATCGTTGCGAAAAGTAGGCGGCGTTTTGAGTTTTTGCTGGTTTTACAGTGAATCAGGGGATTACACTACGAAGCTTGGTCTCAYCTTTCTGTCTCTTTGGTCTCACTGCAGAACCCTTTGAACACCGCTTATGTCTTAGCTGAGACTCAAAATATGTTAAGGAGGCTCTGGGTAGTTTTGATCGGGCACACCTAGCCGCATTGAAACGGCTACAACTTCGTCAACATAAATTAGTTTAAAGCG